GGTGCGGCATTGTGGACGAGCATATCATCGGGCCATATTTGCTTCCACCACGTTTGGATGGGCATGCTTATGGTCGATTCTTACAGCATGGGCTACCGGAACAATTAGAAAATGTGCCACTTAACATAAGAGCCAACATGTGGTTTCAACACGATGGCGCTCCAGCCCACTTTTCTTTACAAGTGCGGCAGTATTTGGACGACAAATTTCCAAATAGGTGGATAGGCCGAGGTGGCCCTGTGCCTTGGCCTGCGCGGTCATCCGACCTGACCCCACTGGATTATTTTCTCTGAAAGCTTTAGTGTACGAAACTCCTGTTCCCAACCAACAAGAGCTACTGGGAAGAGTGATGACCGCGTCCGCACATGTTCAGGACATACCGGGGGTATGCCACAGAGTTCGCCGATCATTGAACAATCGTGCACAGCTGTGTATTGAGCAAGGTGGAGGACACTTTGAGCAATTACTGTAGGTAAGCTGTTTCAAGAAACTGATCTTTTTTTTTTGTTGCAGCCCAAACGGCATATTTCCGAACAGGGGTTTATAAGGCACAATTGTTCATTTTGATGCCCTCTACAACACCTATCATTTTGTCGCAATAATTATGGAACACCCTGTATATAGTACACGGTATATACTAATACAGAACGCGGATGATCCGCTGCTAAGTGACGTTTTGGATACAATCTCAGTATAAGGTATAATGGACAAAGAACTCCAATCTATCTTATTTTTATTGCCTAATGTATAATGTGGATACCAAAACTTGTTGAAATTTCTGAGTAACAGCAGCTGCTCAAGTTTTCAAGTTCATAAATGCAGATGTTTTCTAATTCTTTAGGTTCCCAATAAAACTGACATTTTTTAGTAAACCTCTAGAGAACATTTTTGAGTTTTTTAGTGGTCAAAGTCATGTTTTAAACAATATTATACTAAACACAAATATCAAGCAATTTCATGCCTGTCATTTCTTATATAACGCCAAAATATGTTGAAAACCTATGTCCTACTGGGACATCCTATATAACTTCATGTATTTGCAGAGAAAACATATCTCAATAACTGCAACGCATTTTAACTCTCATACCACCTTCACCCCTATTATGTAAAAAATCGTAATTCTGACGATTGCAAAATTTGCACCAGGCACTACGCTAGTCGGATAGCCCACATGCGGTGATCGCCACCTATGGAGGGATGACATAACGACCATTTTGGTGGCATTTGCCTTAACTGCCGCAACCCAAATTTCGCTAGCATGGTTTACGGGTTGCATGCTCGTACCTTCAAAAAGTACTGCTGTTTCAGCTGCTATTAGAACGACTATTCTAGCATCATTTCTGTACTATATGCATGAATATACTTCAGGTTATCCACTGGTTCATAACAATTTTTAATAGACCAGGTATGCATGAAGTTAATTTGACCTTTGGAAAATGCATTTAGCCAAGTCTCACGCAAAATATAAACAGTCTGGAATGAGACTTATTTGAATTTCAGTTCAATATAACATCTAAAATTGATGCTGTGGTTTTCGTGTTGATAGAACTTCATGCCCCTCTGGCCAAATGGATCTAAATATGTTAAAATTACTCTTTTCTGACGTTTCGTTCATCAGGGTAGCCTTTCGGAGAGTACAGTATTTCCTGCTCCAGAGACGGTGATTTCAATGTCCATAATGAGCTCTGGTTGGGCTCAAACAAGACCGATGCAGTAGATCGTGCGGTTGAAGGGTTCGCTATTACGGAAGGACTGACCCAGCTGGTGACGAGCCCTATTTTTCCCCCGCGTTTCGTCACACGCCAGTAGCCTGCTGGATCTCTTGCTGGCCGCGCATCCTGTCCCTTAAGCACTGCTGGGTAACCCAGACCACGGTGTTGTGCAGGTTGGGTTTCAGTCAGGATCGGCTGTGGCAGCAGAAACTCGCCCATTCCGCAAAAAATGTCGACTGGAAGGAGCTTAGAGTATTTCTCTCTACCTTTCCTCCGAGGGATGTATTTTTCGCTGACGCGGATGTGTGAAAGTGCCTAAACCACGGTACAACGGCTGATTCAACAACTTGTGGGACCCTGCTCGTCAGCAGAAAATCAAGACACACAGATCCTTGTTACAAAACCCCACTGTAGAGAACGGACAAGCCGACGTCGAGTCCAGAAACAAATATAACGAAGCGATCCGCAATGCGAAAGACCAGCACGATATATTTCGAAGTGGGAAATATAATATGGATAAATATATTAGTGAAGCTATGGTCAAGAAAATAATATATGAATATAGATATCACAGATATTCGAGGAGTCTAAATTAAAACGCGATAACGACTACAGAAAATTATCAGTAACCCAAAGTGAAAATGATTGGAAACAATATACAAAATCAAGAAATGAGTGTGTAGCAGTTCTCCGGAGGGAAAAGAAAAAATACTATGATAAGAAGACCGATAGCAATAAAAATAATTCTAAAATAAAGAATATTGTTTCTCCTAATAGAAAGACTGAATTATCTAAAATGCGTTTCGAAGATGGGGTAGTGACAGACAAATTAATTATAGCAGGAAGAATAAACACTTATTTTATAGAAAGTTTAAATCAAATAGTTAACACGATTGATGACGGCGATCCAAACTTATGGCCATTACAAGTATGTCAGAATCCATCAATGAAGCAATTTAGGACAATTAACATCAACAATCTAAGAAAAGCTATCTCAAAATTGAAATCTAATAAAAATCCAAAAAATATTCTAAATGATTGTTTCAATATAATTGGAGAGAAATTATTATTATTGGTGAATCATTGTTTAGTACATGGTGAATTCCCATCAAAATTAAAGTGTTCCACCATTACTCCTGTGCCAAAAGTTCAAAATTCTCAGCTGTACACAAATATGCGACCGATGTCGAGAAGCTGTTCGAAGGGATAATATACGAACAAATCATAGAATTCATTGAAGAAACCAACATTTTGATAAAAAATCACGCTGGATTTAGAAAAAATGTTACACAGAAACGGCAATCCAAATAGTGGTGGAAGACTGGAGAAGAAGTATAGATGAGAAAGAATATATTGTAACAATATTTTTAGACTTCAAAAGGGTATTTGAGACTATAGATAGGGAAAAAGTTAATGAAATTGCGTCACTATGGCTTTAAAGGATCAGTATTACACATTTTACAAAATTATTTAGTGAATATAAGTCAAAAAAATAAAGTTGGAAATATTATGTCAAGTGCTCAAAATACACCTATATCAGTAGGGGTGCCACGTGGGAGTAAATTACTATTTATTATTTATATAAATGATATCTCTAACATTTTAGAACACTGCAAAATTCAAGTATTTGCGGACGATACACTTATATATATGAGGGATGTCTTTTAAGTTTTGCATATAGAAACATAGTAGGCCGGGCGGATCGAACGTCAGTACTGAATCTTAACCTCACTCTTTAGTAAAGGTAAATTCAAAGTTTCACAACAATACGTGCAGTGTTCTTACTACAGTGAATTTTTAAGTGTCACCAAGTCATTAGAAAAATTGAACTCAACCGATAACGTTTTCGCGCCAACTTTCAGATACAATTATCGCAACAAGAATGCTTTGCTGAGTTACTGTCTGTTTTCGACAACGAAGCGCCACATCAGTCGACAATTTCCCGTTGCTATGGAGAATTCAAACGTGGACGGGTGAGTCTTAGCGACGATCCCAGGGTGGGTGCACCAAAAACGGCAGTCACCCAGGAAAACGTCGATGCTGTGCGCAAACTCATCATTGAAGATAGACATGTGACATATCGCGAGATTGAGGCGTCCTTGAAGATCTCAAAGACCTCAATTCAAAAAATTGTACATGAAGAATTAGGAGTGAGAAAATTGGTTTCTCGTTGGATACCCCACCTGTTGACTGAAGAGCAGAAAGCAGCCAGGGTTAATTGGTGTCAAAAAACGCTTGACCGTTTCAATTCCGGAAACTCAAAAAATGTGTACAGCATTGTTAGTGGTGATGAATCGTGGATTTACTGTTATGAACCAAAAAATAAATGACAGTCGGCTGTTTGGGCGTTCCAAGGTGAAGAAAAGCCAACAAAAGTCATCCGTTCTCGAAATGTTTCGAAAAAGATGGTCGCGAAATTTGTGTTAAAAGCGGGTCATATTGCAACAATTCCTCTTAACACGTTCCCTGTCAACGTGCTATGAACGATTTGTTCACCATGCGCCAAAAGATCTTTTCATCCCTAATTGATGTATTAGAATAAAATAAATATGTTTTAACACTGTATATTATCTATAGTGATAATGATCCCATTTTTAGAGCTTTCGGTTAAAATGACCGACGCGGCGTGCAAGGTTAATTTGGTATCTCTGCGCCGCGTCGGTCACTACTTCGGTCATCTAACCTTTAATTTTACACGCGGTCGGAAGAATAGGGTTAGCCGGCAGAGAGGCGAGTTTGCGCTCATCTTGTAGCAGTTGATTATTAGCTGTCGGGTGTACTGCACGTCTTATTGGCTTCACAATTTTATTTCCTATTCACGAGATGTCAAACGGAAAGTATTCGTTTATTCGTGATGAAAATAAACTTACAGAAGCAGAAATGATGATCCTGCGTGATATGTCTGATGAAGACACAGACGACTCGGTCAGAGATAAAGATTTTCAACCTAGCTCAGAAGGTAATATAAAAACTATATAAATAATAATATACTAAAGCATGAATTATAGGTAGATATACAAGAATATAAAAATGATTTATTTCAGGTGAATCGTCATCCAGTCAATCTTCACGAGATGATGCACAGCAGAATCGTAAAAAGGCCTCGGCAATAATGACTTATTCCAACAATCCTAGCACTTCAGAGGATGATTTTGGTGAAGCAAATACGCAGGTAAACGATGAAAATAATGACACCTGGTACTTACCCCAGGCCAGTTTCGGGAGTATTTTGGGGTAAGTCCAACGGTGATTGAAGAATTAGTACAAGGTCATCCGAAAGATTTTTACATGGCAGTGGTTGAAGATTCCATTTTCCAAATGATTGCAGACCAAACCAACATTTCTGCTACTCAGCAGTTAGAAAATCATTCTAATATTTCTGCCTCGTCACGACTTCACCAATGGGACCCTACAAGTTCTGCGGAAATAAAACGTTTCTTTGGACTAATTGCTTATATGGGATTGGTGAAAATGCCATATATCAAAGATTATTGGAGCAGAGATCCCATTTTCAAAACCGAGTTTGCATCCATTGTGATGCCTCGGAATCGGTTTGAAATACTGCTACGTATGATTCATTTTGCCAACAATGATGAATGCAGAGAAGGGGATCGACTACATAAAATTCAAGGCCTAGTCGATAAGCTTGTGCAGAATTTTGAGGCTCTTTATCATCCTGGGGAATCAGTGTGTGTTGACGAGTCGTTAATTCCTTTTCGGGGCAGGCTGATTATGCGTCAGTACATGAAACAAAAGCGCCATAAATATGGTATCAAATTGTTCAAGCTTTGTACAGGACATGGATATACTTTACGTCTGAAAATATATGCTGGGAAAAATCTTGAAGTACGAAAAACAACACCAACTAGCGTGGTTATGGAACTATGTGAATCTGTTTTGAATGTTGGCCGTACGGTTTACACAGATAACTGGTACACTAGCATCGATCTTGCTAACAAGCTTCTCGATAAAAAAACTCATTTAGTGGGAACATTGAGGAGAAATAAAAAAATGTGCCGAAAGAAGTAACTCAAAAAAGTAAAATGAAAAGGGGTGAAATAATTTCGAAAGAGAATATCAAAGGAATTACCGTTCTCAATTGGAAGGATAAAAGGAACGTTATTATGTTATCAACCAAACACACCAATGAAACGGTTGATGTTCCGAAAAGGAACGGTGAAAGTGTTGCTAAACCTAAGGTTGTAGCAGACTACAATAAGGCAAAATCGTCTGTCGATTTATCCGATCAAATGGCTGCGTATTCTTCACCTCTACGAAAAACTGTGAAATGGTACAAAAAACTGACCATTGAGTTACTGTTATCAACAGCTTTGATAAATGCCTATATTTTATACAGGGAATGTACAGGCAATGTTATCGGTATTGTTGACTTTTGAAAAGAGGTAGTTCGATATTTGGTGCAAAACCAAATAATAATGGAACCAGAAATACCAAAAAGAGTACGCCATAATTTGGTAAAAAAAGAAGGGAGAGCCGTTGCCGTAAGGAAACATTGCAAGGGATGCTATGAAAAAGCAGTTCAAGATGGAAAAGAGCCCAAAGAAAGAAGAAAAGTCAAGAAAGTAACCACGTTTGTTCAGGATGTCCAAATGAACCGTTTCTGTGACTGACGTGCTACAACAGAATACACAGAAATCTTTAAATTCATAAAATGTTCTTCATTCCAATGTTTCTGTTCATGTCATTAATCTTAAATCATATATTATAAAATAAAATTTGACAGTAAACTAACGTGTTTAATAATCTAATAAAAAATGAGAAAAACAAATCTCCAAACAGAAAAACAAAAAGTTTTCATATGCCTTTTGCTCGTCAGGCCGTTTCGGTCACGCATTATGCATATCATGGTACAGCTCCTGACCGGCGGCGCTCTAGAAGCGAGTATAGAACCGTTGAAATTTTCGGTCATATTGACCAACGCGGCCTGATTGCATACCATTCCTTTCGGTCATTTTGACCGAACTGGCAGGTAACGTGTTAATGAGCAAAGAACTGTTACTGCGGATTGGTATACCACCATTTGTTTGCCAAAAGTCATCACCGAGCTTCGAAAAGTCAACCCCGAAAGAAGAACCATCCTCCATCAAGACAATGCAAGCTCGCTCACAGCCCAACAAAACAAGGCAGTATTTAACGGAAGAAAACGTGGAATTATTGGACCATCCTCCATATAGTCCCTATATAGGTCCTACCGATTTCTTTACTTCTTTGCGTGGTCAAAGGTTCCAGTCACCATAAGAAGCAGTTGACGCATTCAAAAATGCCGTTTTGGATCTGCCAGCAAACGAGTGGAATAAGTGCTTCGAAAATTGTTTCGAGCGCATGCAGATGTGTATTAATCTTCGTGGAGAATACTCCGAAAAACAATAAAGTCATTTAAAACTACCTACCGTGTTGTTTTATTTCCATATGCAAAACTTAAAAGACATCCCTCGTATATACAAGGTGACTTCGAAGTTGAGTCATTTATTTTAATAGTGAGTAGATCTGATCAAAAGAAATGTTTTTTTCCTTTACCATTTTTCTGGTAAAATTAAAGTAACAAAGTTATAGCCCTTTGGAAGTTTGAGTACCGCCCTGTCTCAATATTATCATGTACTCGTGTTTGGCAACAACGGATATAATCCACCTTATCGGTTCATCGCATCGGAAACAAAAAAGCGAAAGAATTTGGAACGATGTTTATTTTATTCAGTTCAGTTATACATACAGTTAGTGTCAGTCGCGTGTGAATAGTGTCTGTTGCGTGGCTCAAACGAAATAAAAAATGGCACATGTTTATGCGGATCGGTTTCCCAATCGAGTGCAACCAACCCCTCGTGCCTTTGTTAATGTAGTACAACGGGCTCGTGAATCAGGTGACTTAAGACCTCACAGGGGACCTCACGATCAAATACAGGTCCGCACTGAAATACTTGTCGGGAGGATACTTTATAAAACAAGGTAAAAATTTTTTTTTTATTTTTTTTTTATTTTTACACATATATTTTGGTTTATCTTCCTTCTACAATCATTATCTGAAAATTAATGACTCAACTTCAAAGTCACCTGTATATATATATACAGGTATAAGCATTTGGACACTGGTTTAGAACTGTTAAATAGTGATATTGAAAAAGTTATGAATTGGTTAAATGTCAATAAACTTGAACACTAATAAAACAAAATGTATGTCAATAGGGAAACATTTAGGTGACAATACAATTAGGCTCATGATTAATGATTAAAAAATTGAAGTAGTCGAGTCATTTAAATATCTTGGTATATACATATGTGGATAGTAAGCTACTGTTTCACGAACATTATGAGTACATTATTTCAAAAATATCGAAAAAGATAAATTACTTCTATAGAGTTTTCCATAATCTTAGTATGTATTCCATAAAAATTGTGTATAACACTATAATTCTTCCCCATTTTTTATATTGTTCAACCATCTTGTTTACAGCAAATGAAAACATATTTTCAAAATTACAAATTCTACAAAATAAAGCTATGAGAATCATTTTAAATAAAAACAAATATACTAGGATTAAGTCTATGTTAGAAGAACTGCAGTGGTTGGATGTGAAAAATTTCATATATTATGTAGTTCTCGTTTTCATATTCAAATTAAAAAATCATTTATTACCACCACATTGAGAGAACTTCACAAAATTAAATAGTCATTATCGTAACTACGAAACTAGAGGCAGTATAGATTTTCATCTACAAAATTGTAATAGTAGCATAACTAGTAAATCTATATTTCAAAAGGGAGTATTTGAATTTAGTTAATTGAATAATGATATAACAGAGTTCGAATTTAAAAATGTTTAAGGTGAAATAAAGAAACCACTTTATGAATAATCAAAATACATAGTGACGTAATTTTAATTTTAATAGACAAGTATGTAAAATTACAGAAAATGGATTGAAGAAAAATTGAGATTGTAGCATTAATGCTAAATAAATCTTCAACAAAAACATCAACAACAAATATAAAAATTAGGCACAGGGTGACGTCGCAGCGCAATGGCTGGCCAAGCAGATTGAAAGGAAGTACTCAGAGAGTAGCCTTCCACCACTCAAGTGCCAGGATGGAGCAATTTTGCAACCGACTCCAAGGTTAAGGCGAAAGTGCTTGCCAAGATCTTTGCCAACTACACCATGGACATCCCCCCAATTTGTTTAGTTTGAAAAAATCCAGAATTTTTAACTTAATTTTCTCAGACCTCGATTTTTACACTGCCTTTTACGTAAGTACGGCAGTATATTACAGTACATCTTAGGCAACAGAAGCCGTCTATGTAGTTTCTCAGGCACAAATGAAACATGACACCAACAGCATATACCTGACGTTTAGGTAATACACAGCTAGTGCGTCAGTAGTAGCTGGTACGTAGCGTAAATTTTGTAATCGAGTCCCAAATTACACTGTGCTTTCACGTAATAAAGGTGTCGGTTTTTCATACTTAATACTGTTTCTGTCAAAACAATTTAAGTCGGCTGATTCTAAAACCGTTTCTGCTTAATTACCTGAACGAATAAATACATAATACATAAGAATTATAACATCAATGCAATGGTGTTAAAAATGATTAGCTACAAATAAAATATACAAGCAACGATCAAAAAGATCAACAAAATTGCACTGAAAAAAATGCACGTGAAAAGCATCTTTAGAACCAAATGCATAGTCCACTTGAGTCCACTTATTTTGAGGTCACCGTATATGCCTTGACAGTCTGCAAATATCATTCTCAAGGAAGATGGTGACGTTGTTCGATCTGATACATCCGTTTACCTCAAATTTAACACTTTCCTGTTCAAACATTTACCTGTCTATTCTGGTACATATAGCTACAGGAAACACATTCCGCATCAATCTTCAAATTAGGAATCATTGATAATCAGAAGGATCAAGGCCACCTTCTTTGACATTTGCAAGATCTCCTGTTATTCTCAAGAGACAAAGCAATAAAGAGGGCTCAAGAAACAACTACACTACTCGAAAAAATTGAGAGAAAGAAAAAATCCAAATTTTTCAGTGACTTTTGAGCATTTTGAAGCTTCAAGATTCTAGTTTTTAGGTTTTTTAGACAAAATTTATTAGCAGCAACAGTTCTTATGCAGTTCTAACAGCACAAGGAAGTTTTTTTGGAAAATGTTTGCCTTGTGTGAGGTACTACCGAAATCTGGAATAAATCTCCTATAAGATTTAATTGCAATGTTTGAGGATTTTTTTTGTTTCCTTAGGAATGATTTCAAAAGAGTCAAAAAAGTTACCTTTTGCCTTGTTTTGGAAAATCGACCTCATTTTTGGAACTGCTAATGAGAAGGGTAATGTTTGTAGGTTTTTTATACCTCAATGTACCTCTAATAGCCGTGCACGCCGGCAGATCGATCCAATGTACGAAGTTTGGAAAAATCAAAGGAGCAGGAATTTGTATCAAAACATCCTGTAATCTGGTTGAACAAGGAGAAACCATTTTTTCTTTTGCGAATGCGACAAATTTTACAAAACACGGCAAAAAGTAACTTTTTTTACTCTTTTAGAATTCAATACTAAAGAAACAAAAAAGCTCCTCAAAGATTGTAATCAAATCTTAGAGATTTATTACAGTTTTCGGAAATACCCTTACATTCTCTGTGCGACAACTTATCAGTGGTGGATGACAAAAGGGTCCTTTTTCATTCAGTCGAATGTCTCCGCGCCAAATGGACGTATCGGGATTTTTAAAACAGAATAATGAAGCTGAATAAACATGCTATCTGATTCGTATGATGGCCAAACAGAAAAAAAGCCAAGCCCATGGACTAAAAATAAGGAAACATTTTTCAAGAAAATGTCCTTCCGCTATCTGTTAAAATTGCGTGAAAACCGTTACTCCTAAAACTTTTCGGCTAAAATTCCTGAAAACTAGAATCTGAAAGTTCTTAAGCGACTTTTTAAATTCTAGATACGACCATTTTTCATCTAAACACATCCCGTCAAGAATCACCAAAAAAAAAATGGATTTTTTTTCTCGTTCCCTTAATTTTTTTGGGTAGTGTACATATTCGGCTCTTAGGTGTCACGCGATACAATTGTGTATCACAATTTAAAATAAGCCGACTCTTTTGAAAAAAACCTGAAAAAAATGTCGCCAGCATCATATTTCTCATAGAACATTCTCGTGAAGGAAACTTAGCATGGCGTGACATTGTTTTTTCACCAATTAAAAACTTCCACAATATACATATTATCTCACAAGTTTCTTACTTGGAAAAGCCCGCTTTTCCATTACCTAATTCTCGGAAACCAGGTGAAACAAAGAAATCTCAGTGCCTGAAGGCACCAGGCACTGTATTAATTCAAATTAAGTAAAGCCTGCTGGAGACAATTGTTGCTATTGAACTGCGGGGCCTCAGCAGATTCACTTATGTCGGAGTGCAGGATGTACCCGTTAACATTTGGATGCAGTCTTGACTACAATAGAGATAAAAAATACAGAGGGATCATAAAAAAGTTCACTTAAGAAAGTGAAAACTACTTTCTATGTACGACACCGTTTCATCCAGATTAACTGACTCTCTCGGGTACATTGCTTTCAAAATAGCCTGGTTAACGTTCTCGGGCTAGGGCTTTTTCGACGAACATGACGAAACACTCCAAGATATACACATATTTCAAGTAAAATCAATATGGCGAAAACGACACGAATATAGAGTTACCAGTAGAAGAAAGAATCCATCAAAAAAACAGATTCTGTCGCGGTGGCTGCGATGTGCCCTCTGATGGCTGTAATGCTACCTACCATTTGGATGCGATTCATTACTTGCGCTAATAGTCCGGGAAGTATTTTCCCATCTGCTCAGAAAAATATTCTGCAGATTTATCAAAATGGGCTTTTTTGAACGAGATTATGCGAAAAAACTATCAACATTTTTTTTTATAAGCAGATGAGAAGATAGTTCCTGTACTATAGCTACCCAGGTAGTCGATGGCCAGCATATCTTTCCTGAAGAGGGTCGCGTGGTTGGTGTATGTGTACAGGGCGATTCACTATGACAAGTTGGTGCTACGTGTCTGGATGCAAAATCAAGGAGGGAAATGGTGTTCTGATGCCTTGCTAATGATTTTTGTCAAGTATTGTTATTCCAACATATTTGGAATCCGTTTTGTTCAGGTTGACGTGTAATTGACAAAGGAGATCCATCCAAAATTTATCGATGATCATGAGTGTACCATCAGTGACAAAAACGCGATATCACAAAAGCGGTATGCGTAGTTTTACTTCTAATTTTCAAAATAACTCAATTTGGAGGCTTGATAGTGCTTCGGAGCTCCGTCGAATATGTTAGGAATTTGGAGGTAACACTTACAAAGAACTTGGTCGAGCCGGCTTGTGTAGACAACGTAGGAAAACGACTGAAAACTGAAGTCTTGGACGTCGGTTTCACTCGCCCTTGTGAACAGTTTTCTGCTGATAGTTTTTTTCACTTTAAACACAAGTCCGCATTTATTTTCAATTCAAATATATCACTACTAGCGCAAATGAAGCTAATTCTACATTGAGAACACTAACTCATCTATATATATGTAAAAATAAGCGCTTGTTTTCACTTTCACGGTAGTCCATTCTGGTAACAGATGGCACTTTGTGCTGTCTTAAATTTCAGTTTTTCACATAACTACAGATAATTTAAAAAACATTTGCTTTTTGTGACCATACAGTATATTCCAAGTTTTGACAACCTCGGCACAGTGTATACTGAAGTTACGTATTGACAACGAAGACAGTACGACATGTGAATCATCGCCAGTCAATGACGTAGAGGCTAAAAACTATTTTTCAACTCGCAATGTTTTTAAGCAAAGGATATTTGTCATCCATTGCCCATTCCATAAAAACAATGACATGCACCACCCTGTATGAATACAATTACTCGATGCCATGACAAAGAATTTTTTGACAACCAATTCCGTACGCGCGCCAAAGTATCCTGTATAAAGCAATAAAAAAGTGCGGGACTTCTTCAAATGAGGCACCTAAAAAAGGATCCGAGTTCTTACAAAAATGTCGACATCTTTAGAAACCAGAAGATCAAAGGTTTTTTTGCGAGTGCCACTTCTACTGGTAACTCTGTATACTTTTATGGAAACTAAGCATTTCAAGGACATTTATATACTAAGTGACATATAAATCCGAACACCCAGTTTAAATGGTTTTATTTTAATAAAATTTTGTATAAGTACTTAATGAAGCATAATAAGTAAATGATAAAAATTTTAAAATGATTGCACTGCTTTAAAGCCCTTTGACCTTTAATAATGTGTGGATGCACCCTGATGTGCTACGCATTCTCCAACGCGCCGAAGCATGCTTCTGATCAGGTGATCAATGTCCTCCTGTGGTATCTCATTAAAGGCAACCACCAACTCCTCTCGAAGTGCTTCTAGAGTCTGAGGAGGACGTTGCAAATTGAGCAATCTCCTACCCATCATATCCCACACGTGCTCAATTGGGGATAAGTCGGGAGATCTTGGTGGCCATGGTAACAATGTGACGTCATTATGTTGAAAGAAGTCTATTGTGACTCTTGCAACATGTGGTCGGGCATTATCTTGTTGGAAAGTTGGATCTGCCAGGGTGTCAAGATAGGGTAAAAGATGGGGTTCTAGAACTTCGTGGATATAACGCTGCGCGTTCATGTTACCTCTGATGAAGATTAAAGGTGACCTGGAACCATAAGCTATAGCACCCCAAACCATAACTCCAACAGTGTAATGAACATGTCTTTCAACAAAAAACTGTGGATTCCTCCTTTCACCACGTCGCCTTCTAACCCTGGCACGACCATCGTGCATGCCTAAACTAAATCGAGACTCGTCACTAAAGACAATACTGTTCCATTCCTGATCCCAGAGTGACCGTTGTCTGCACCACTCAAGGCGATTACGTCGGTGTTCTCGAGTTAAAGGGAGGACCCAGTGTGGCCGGTATGAAACCAAGTCAAAACTTCTCATTCGTCCGTAAACACTTCGCATGCCAATAGGTCTTCCGTGTTCTGCAAACCATTCATTTGCAATGGACCTGGTAGTGGAGAAACGGTCCCTTAAGGCCAATAATCTTAGGCGGCGATCTTCACGGTCTGTTGTTCTACGGCGGCGTCCAGTGCCCCTTGCTCTTTGCGTACGGCCTTCTCGAAGCCATGCCTGACAACACCTAACCACAGTGTCTACACTTCTTTGCACTCTAACTGCAATTGTCCGAAAAGAAAGTCCAGCTTCCCGAAGTCCCACTATACGGCCCCTATCAAACTCACTAAGTTGACGAAATCGTACAGGTCTCCGTACTCTAGGCATCGTAACCGATCGTAAAGGATGTCAAGAATCAAAATCCGCCAACGTTGATTCTTTACTGCGGCTGAAATAATCATTTTTAGAGCGTTAGTGAATTAAAAAAAGCAGTATAAAAACCGGAATGTCCAACTGATAAGGCTGGAAATTTGTTCACTTATTATTTACAGTAAGATAAATACATTCACCAACTTTTATTAAAATAAAACCATTTAAACTGGGTGTTCGGATTTATATGTCACTTAGTATATGAACCTGGATAGTTCATCGAGATGAAACGGTGCCGTTCATGAGCTTTTATTGAATTACTCACCTGTTTATTTTCACTAGCGTTCAATTTTTCAGTTGCCATTCTCTTACAATTTACTTTGTTCACGCTTCGAACCTTCAGTATATTAGGTCTGTGATTGTTTACGTGGTTTACATGATTTGCATGATTATTTAACCTGAAATAATGACATATTTATACCAATCCCATGCAGCTCAAATACGATACTTCGAGATTTTTTCATGATCAAAGCTCCATTTAAGGAACGAAGACTAGACATTTTTCCTCGAATACTTTGAGGTTTCCTAGGTGAAGGTTTTCAAAATCCCCTTAGTTTCTGGTGCCGCCCAGGCGGCTAAATTTCTACTCCAAATTTTTCACCTCGATACTGCAGGGTGTTTTCGTAATCATATTCAAATTCACCGTAGCAAATTACCTGAGTTTACAAAGTTTCATTCGCGTGTAACAACTAGAAACGAAAATGTAAATTTTGTCCCGAAAAGTCCTCCAACGTTTACATGTAAGTAAAAGTACCCGTAGATATAAAGAATCTGAGGAGTTTTTTTTTAAAACAAATAACTTCCCGATAGCGATTTGTAAGTGTTTGTTTTTGCTTTGCGCATTTTTCTTTTTTTTATTCATACTAGTTTTATATGTGCCTATATGGAAACAAAAAATTCTATCAGTGTGGCCGGGCGTAAGGAAATTGCATTAGGTATCCTATATTCCAAAGTCTTCAAATTAAAGAAGAGAAAAAATCTATACATTCCTTGGTGGAAAAGGTCATTACTATCCTCACCCATTATATCCCTATAAAAGTGCGCGGCAAATAATAGCATACTTCTCCACTAATGTATGGAATATACTATTTTATAGGGATTTATCGTCACAATAAGTAAAACAAAGCATAACCATAGCGTATTTAATGAAACACAGCACTGCGACTCCCAACGATATGAACACATTATGCAAGTTCACTTTCTCTTTGGCTTCCGAGGAGAAAGGGATATTCTAAAGTATGGTATTAAATACGAGGGTTGTCTCAAAAATATGGTTCTCAATGCTGTATCTTTGCTGCGCGAGATGCTAGGCGAAATCGGCAACACCGTCGTGTTTGTGCGCCTATTTGCGATGCTCAGTACGGGCCCGACAGCCATGCGCAATGGAGTCTTTCATCGTCGTCACCGCCAGGTGCGGTCAACCGATTTTTACCCGCAAAAACGTTACTACCCAAAGAAATTCATCGCCACTTGAGTGAAGTATATGGGGAAACTTGTATAAGAATTCAACGTGTTCTCAAATGCTGAAGATCGGCGAATTCCATCCGGGAACAGGCGGTTGAAATTCCTGACGCCGTAAGTGAAAACTCACCAAACGTAAGACTGCACCATAACAATGCGCATCCTCATGTCTCACAACAAAAGACGGATTTAATCGAACGATTTGGCTGGAAAGTCATTGCCCATCTTCCTTACAGCCCTGACATACCAAAGCGTTTCCGAAATTGAAGGAGCATCTAGACGGTTAACGGTTCGAGGCAGACGAGGAGTTACAAGGGGCAGTTAGCAAGTTTCTAAACGGGCTGGCGCTGAACTTGAGGCGGGAGTAGAAAAGTGGATTTCACGTATAAAACAATGGGTGGAAAAAATGACGACTATGGAGAAAAAATAGCTTAAAGATCAACGTTTCCAATGGTGAATTCGTTTTTAAAATAAATTCCTTGTGCCTAAAAAAATGTGGGTACCCTATTTTTGAAACAACCCTCGTATACTGTATCAAAACCTTACTTACCTGAACCCGTGAGTATTATTCATCATTTTATGCTTATTAATCGCCATGAGTATTTCTTGTCTTTGGCTGTCAACATGAGGGTTGGATATCAAAATAGCCCCACCGATTTTCCTCGTATTATAAGTGGGAAGGTAATGAGAAGGTAGAGTAACAGGCTTCGAATGAGAACGGTAGAACTTTACCGAAGAATTAACGATTGGTACCAATACTGATGCAGTCGTTGCTATTGGTACTTTCACGTCGTCCTCTGTTTTAAGATCATTGTCAGGTACCGTGCATTTTAGTAGATAAAGGTAGTAGTCGTTTTTATCCATCTTCCAGTCCTGAAATATAATTAAATTGAGAATGGGTGATTTATTTAGAGGTACTACTAAGCATCAAAGACTAGAAACAGCCAATTGTTGCTAGTAAAATTTATTAACACACAAGAGAGACAACATGGCACGTATACTAAGTGACATATAAATCCGAACATCCAGTTTAAATGGTTTTATTTTAATAAAATTTTGTATAAGTACTTAATGAAGCATAATAAGTAAATGATAAAAATTTCAAAATGATTGCACTGCTTTAAAGCCCTTTGACCTTTAATAATGTGTGGATGCACCCTGATGTGCTACGCATTCTCCAACGCGCCTAGGCATGCTTCTGATCAGGTGGTCAATGTCCTCCTGTGGTATCTCATTCCAGGCAACCACCAACTCCTCTCGAAGTGCTTCTAGAGTCTGAGGAGGACGTTGCAAATTGAGCAATCTCCTACCCATCATATCCCACACGTGCTCAATTGGGGATAAGTCGGGAGATCTTGGTGGCCATGGTAACAATGTGACATCATTATGTTGAAAGAAGTCTATTGTGACTCTTGCAACATGTGGTCGGGCATTATCTTGTTGGAAAGTTGGATCTGCCAGCGTGTCAAGATAGGGTAAAAGATGGGGTTCTAGAACTTCGTGGATATAACGCTGCGCGTTCATGTTACCTCTGATGAAGATTAAAGGTGACCTGGAACCATAAGCTATAGCACCCCAAACCATAACTCCAACAGTGTGATGAACATGTCTTTCAACAAAAAACTGTGGATTCCTCCTTTCACCACGTCGCCTTCTAACCCTGGCACGACCATCGTGCATGCCTAAACAAAATCGAGACTCGTCACTAAAGGCAATACTGTTCCATTCCTGATCCCAGAGTGACCGTTGTCTGCACCACTCAAGGCGATTACGTCGGTGTTCTCGAGTTAAAGGGAGGACCCAGTGTGGCCGGTATGAAAACAAGCCAAAACTTCTCATTCGTCGGTAAACACTTCGCATGCCAATAGGTCTTCCGTGTTCTGCAAACCATTCATTTGCAATGGACCTGGTAGTGGAGAAACGGTCCCTTAAGGCCAATAATCTTAGGCGGCGATCTTCACGGTCTGTTGTTCTACGGCGGCGTCCAGTGCCTCTTGCTCTTTGCGTACGGCCTTCTCGAAGCCATGCCTGACAACACCTAACCACAGTGTTTACACTTCTTTGCACTCTAACTGCAATTGCCCGAAAAGAAAATCCAGCTTCCCGAAGTCCTACTATACGGCCCCTATCAAACTAACTAAGTTGACGAAATCGTACAGGTCTCCGTACTCTAGGCATCGTAACCGATCGTAAAGGATGTCAAGAACCAAAATCCGCCAACGTTGATTCTTTACTGCGGCTGAAATATTCATTTTTAGAGCGTTAATGAATTAAAAAAAGCAGTATAAAAACCGGAATGTCCAACTGATAAGGCTGAACATTTTTTCACTTGTTATTTACAGAAAGATAAATACATTCACCAACTTTTATTAAAATAAAACCATTTAAACTGGGTGTTCGGATTTATATGTCACTTAGTATATATAACAAAAATCGCATATGTGTAAAAATCGATATACTTTGACGTCAAGCCGGGAAAGGGGATAGGCAGTCATAATACTTATCGGGAAAATATAAAAAAGATTTAAGTCGTGTATTTTTCAAATTATAGGCTTAAAAAATTGGGAAAATCTACACCCTGTGACGATATTTAGTTTCCATTACCAAAAATTTCAATTTTTTCTTAGACGGAGTGTCGGACATTGTCATTCTACGTAGTGACAGCAAGACAGATAGTAACGCTGCAACCCCTATTTCAAGTATTCTTCCATTTTGATCAAATGTAATTTCATGGTAAATTAGATTTACAATTTGAGGTGAGCCAGCTTAGTGCTTAAAACATGTCCTTTTGTTTGACCGAATAGCTACGCAACAAGAAAAAATATAATTCCGATGAATAGTGACTGCTCTTTATGTACTGAGTAAGTATCTATTACTTACTGGTACTGGAGCAACAACTGATATAGGGCTCATAGGCATGAAACCACTCTTATCTTCCTCTTTCGCTTTTACCTCATCCTTCACAGCTTTACTCTCCATTTCAGTCGTATTCTCGTTCTAAAAGATACATTGCACTTGATGTAGACGCTTTTGGTAGTGAAACCACACCACTCTAAGCAGATAGCATGCATGATAGCCAAGTAGGGCTAGAGTTTAGATCTAACGATTGATTAACGTATTCTGAAGACACCCACCCTATGCTGAAGTTATTCCTAAAATTTGCTATTCTCAAAAACGACGGAAAAGAAAGCTACACAGCAAGAGATGGGTGTTCCAACTGGAATGGGTATCTTCTGGAGGAATATGTTAATCAATGACGAAACTAAGCTGGAACCAACACCACGGGCCTCTTTCTGAACATTTTTGACCTTTGAGATTAATTTTGATGTCTTCACAGCGCGGGCCTACATATGATAATTTCGATACAGAAATCAGTTAGGACTAGGTGTCGAAATTATCATTGCGGACCGTTGGTATGATTCTAACTAAATATCGACCGTCAAAATTAATTTCAATGTTGTGATACGTACGATCCACTATTATAATTTTGGCACCTGATTGTAACGAATTTTTAGATTCAAATTATTACGATAGTGTCAAAATTATCACAAAGGATCAAATGTATGATGCAGATCGGAATCAACATTAATTTTAAGTCGAAATTAGTTTGAGTCGGGCGCCAGACCAGCACTACTATCAGCCAACATACCTTATCGCTAGTATATAAGCTAGTCTGTCTAGGACAAGATGGTATATCATTAGGCTTAGGAAAAGTGGCAGCCTTAGATTTGTCAGGTTCATTTGTGCTGGCACTTGCTTCTACAAGAGGTACGCAAGTAGTACTTTGAGAAAAAGAGTCTTTTTCCTCTGGTACTCCTCCGTTTGGGGAAGGGGCCTGTTCTTTCGATGTCTTTTTCTCAGCTATCAATTGAAGGATGTCCTTACTTCTTCCAGGAACTAGTTTACGTAACTGGATCTGAAAATATGCCGATGTCACACTCATTCTACCCCCTTTGATCGCAAGGATAATCTTTACACTTTCGAGTTAGACCAGAAAGTATTACAAAATAATCCCCCATCATAGCATAGCATCACAGCATACGGCTGCGTAAAGCATATTTGACGAATTGAATAGATATGGAATGAGGGTTAATACATTGTCCTGGATAAAATCCTCTCTTACAAACAGGAAACAACGTGTAGCGATAATAAAATATATCATCATCAAGTTAGATTTCATTTGTAATGAGGTAGATATACCGCAGGGCAGTGTGTTAGGTCCATATTATTTGTCATATCCATCAACGATCTAAAAGATAGCATTAAGAACTATGACTTTACAATAATTAATTATGCTGATGATACCAGCATACTCATTAGCGACAAAAACATCACTGGATTGGAACATGATGGTCAGCAGGTGTGGTTATACTTCTGTTTGCTTAATCCAAAGAACATAAAAATGCGCCGAAGTCATTTTCTTGTCACAAATATTCGTTCAGATCCCGCTCGAGACGCCACTGGACTCAATTAACACCATGTATACACAAAGAAAGGAAAAAGAAAAGGAAAATAAGTATTGACAGATTGTGGTTATTCGAAAATTCACACTTTTTTAATATCATGGTTTATTGATGCATGCACCATTTCTATATCATCAATATCAAAATTGTGAACACGTTAAGTATCGTCCGCGCAAGACAGAAACTCACAGTCTTACGTAGATCCGTAACATAAGAGTATATCAAAAGCATCAAGAGACCCAAAACAGACCCCTGAGTTACTTCAGATACTAGATTTATTGATACACTCTGCGATCAATTTGATATACAGGGTGTTCCTTAATGATACGCGAATATTTAAGGGTGTGAATCTACATGAAAAATTAATGTTAGTTTGCTTTATAAACTATGGTCCAAAAATGTTTCGTTACAAAACCTCGGGATGTTGAAGATATTTCCCTGATATTTAGTACGTAGTGAAAGTTAATAAAGTTGCATATTTTTCAATGCAAAAATAATTTTTAGCTTTAACAGTGGCGTGCGTACGGGTATTGACTTCGATATTTTTTAAGAAAAAAATGGTACGCCAATGGTTTTTTGGCAAATAAAAATTATTTTTGAATTTCCCGTTCAATTTAAAAGAAATGATCTCTCTTGAATTGTTTTCCTTCGATGCGCCATTTTTGAGTAAAAAAATAAAAACCGTTCTGTATAATTTCGAAAAAAGTTTACTGAACTTAGATCTATGCCTTAATACTTCAACTTCACTATTAACAACTCGTGATTTATTTAAATATGCCTTTTTCCACGCAATTCACCTTACTCTTCCTCAAAAGAAACAAAATGACTGGCCGCGGAATAAAGAAACCATGCATTTTTAATTCTTATTCAACCAATATTCTTGTGGATCTGAGGCACCTTGTTGATAAAAAATACAAGAATGTGTTTGAATTAGACTTTAATACCAATCCTCATTTACATCCGATCAAACAGCAAATACATGTTTATCCCAAAGAACATCATTCCTATATTCTTATAGTGTTCATTTCCAAAGTTACATTTATGTACAAGGCACTGATAAAATAATTTTTTAGAAAATGACCTCAAAGATATAGTGATGAAAATTCGTTAAGGTAAGTATAACAATAATATAACATACTAATATCACCCATTATTCAAAAGAATAGTTTGCGTATAAATACAATATAACATGGGGTGGTTAAAAAATACTGGAATTTGTGTGCGATATTTGTAAATGTCAATCTTGCAAGGTTATTTTTATGTTCTTTCCATTTATCTTTTGCCAAAATAAAGAGTTGTTGTGACCGACGGCAAGTAATGAGTTGAGAAAAAAGAAACAACTTTTAAATATACATATATGAATGTAAAAATTTAATAATTATAAAATGAGACGATAAAATAATAATTAATAAACAGGATGTCATATACTATTGAAATGGTCTAAAATAAGTCAAATATAAATAATATCGGAGGCGCACACCGAAACGCAGCTTCAAAGATATATCTTCGCTGTCACGTGAAAATTTATGCAGATTTCAGAACACAATGCAATTTTTTGCGCGTTTGACTCATACACTTCAACACTTCCTTTCAACTGTCGCTTGGTTTTTCAACTTGGAGCGCATCGTTTTTCGAGGATATTTAAAATTTCTGCAAACAATTTTCCGTTTTTTCGAGCCAACCCACATTATATAAAAAAATAGGAAAATATATCAAAACTTAGAATTATTATCACAAATCAATAATACTGTTTGAGCTTTTTATAAGTAGGTTCTACTCCAGTCATCAGAGATAAAAAAATTGAGAGCACCAACTCAGCCATTCAAAAAACGCATACTAACGAGAGTGAAAGATCTTTAATCTTGAATTCATAAAACTAGCTCCACACCATGCTCCCAAAAAACTGTTTGGATAGCAAACAATATATGTTTCGTGTTGAAAAACAAAACCCAACAACCTGTAGGCAAAACGTTCTCCTTCACCAATATGCGACTTCTATTGCTATATTAGTTCTTTTAAAATCCCATTCATACTGGACAAAAAATATTCTATGTACATAGTTACGCCACACTAGTGAACAAGTTGACCACCAAGTCACCTCACAGAAGAATTACTATCATTGGGGTTATTTTTTTACATATTAACAGAAACATACTTTGTCTTGACGTTTTTCTGTTCTATTTTAAAGTTTTATGTCACTTAAAACACCCGATATTTGATTTTTTTCCAATTTTTTCATTTGAAATGACAAAATGATGCTCCAGAATTTACTATTTTAATGAACTAATCGATATTTTTTCTGCTAGACATTTTAAAAACGTCAAGACAATAACTCAAGCTTGTAGTCCTGTGTCTATAGACATACAAAACTAGACTAACAGAATGAACAAAAGTAAGAATACACTTTGTACCGTTTTCTTTCAGTACGGCTACATATCTCAAAATATTCAAATCAATCGAGTTTATACATTGAGTACAGATACAAATAGCGAAGTATGACCAATGGTCACTCATACTTAACCAAATACAGTGAAATTCCCCTTCGCGGACACCCCTCTTACACGGACACCTCCTTTAAACAGACAGTTTCTCATGGTCCCGGCCGACTCTCATATAATTTGCATTGTATCAACTCTCTCTTGGACGGACGCGGACACGAGACAATGTTCTCCTAACAGGACAAAAAACAAAAGCCACATAGGCAGTACCAACAGAAGATATGTATTCCAAATTATGGTAAAGCTATTACCCTGACCAAGCAGCTCAAAAGTTTTGCCGAACATCAGGGAGATACGGAGTCTTTGGAGATCTTTCTAAATTAGAAATACGATTTCAAGACGCCATTTTAAAGAAAAAGAGGAGACAATATATGAGTTTTTGCGTCCTTAAAGTGACTTTTTATTTCATTGTTTTGTGTTACTACATATATGTATGTTCATAGATATGTACATAGATATGTACATAGATATTATATTATACTATACATATACACAGTGCTTTTCTTCAATGTCCCCCTCCTCTTTGATTTTTTGAGCGGATCAATTCAAAAAATTAAAACTTGAGGCAATGAAATTGATGCGTGGATACCATATTTTAGAGTAAAATTGACAGATAAAAATGTCAAGATGGCCGCTTTGCGCTATCTTGGAAAAAAAATTATTTGAAAACGGGGATCTTGTGGCACATCATTTTGAAGCTCCTGACGAGTACTTTATAACCCTAGAATATGAAGTCAATACCTTTACCTACTACAAAATGGTGGTATCTTTAATAATTACTTGTACACAAACCCACTAACATGCATATCTCTACAAATAATTGTAATTCCCTGTCGTATCCACAGCAACAGCGATAAAAACTTGTTTTGTTATTTTTTGTTGACAGTGACAAGAATATCAGTACGAAAACAAAGATCATTGTACAGTTAAAATATTTTTATTTAGTTTTCGGTTTTGGTGCTGTTTGAATTATTTTTAAAATGGTCAATTCTCGTCCATTGGATGAAAAAATCGAAGCGATTTTTATTTATGGTGCGACGCGTAATTTTCACGAGACCGAAAAGATTTTTAATGATCGTTTCCCGAATCGTCCTATCTGTAGAAAATATTCAAGGGAACTTGTATCTAAATTTACAGCTACTGGTAGTGTAAACAACAAAAAGCCCCCAGGTCATCCGATCATCCCAGAAGAAAAGCAAGCTCAAATAATTGGTGAGATCATAGTAAATCCCCAACGGTTTGTCCTTCTACTGTATGGAGTGTTTTGAAAAAGAATAAGTATCACCCATACAAAATCAAATGGTACACCAGCTAACTGAAGATGACCCTGATCGAAGAACAGAATTCTGCGAGACTATGACGGAAACCATTGCACAGCATCCTACCGATATCCAAAATATTTGTTTTAGTGATGACTGTACATTTTTTCTCAACGGTAATTAACGTTTGGGCTGGGGTATTGGGAAATCATATTGTGGGACCTCTATTCATCGAACAAACTTTAACCGGGGAACTGTATTTCTGTGCCTCAGAGCCAGACTATGTTAAGTCCAAATAAGTAGTTTTGAGATAATTATATATGAAATATTTTTCTTGCAATGTATTTTCGACAAAAATGGTCAGAAATCCTAATGAATGACATGTCAAACTACGCATTACTCTGCAGAAATCAAATTAAAAGTAGGGAACCCATTCAGATGAAACAGCCGCCAGTAACCCTTCTTCTCTTTATGCGTTTCCCTTGGTAGCATCCAGGCAGTAAATCATAAACAAAAAAAACCTATTATACAGGGTATCCACAAAGTTGGGGTTTTCCTTTACACGACGTGTAGTGGTGGTTTACGACATTTGAATGTTAAAAAAAATACATATTTTCAAAATCTGTGTTGGATTTGTTAAGTTAATTGTTTCCATTATAATGTATTATAAGTATTAGAGTTTATAATTGTTTTCATTATATCTTGTTTTCCCTTATTATGAACTGTTTTATTTCATTTCTTCAATATAAGGTTGATCTAAAACAATATCTAAAACAAAAATACTGAGAAACATCTTTAGTACCTACTTATAATTTTTGTTTTCTAAAAAGAATTTTATAAATTTTATCTTCACAGTATTTTAAGGTTTTTAAAATACAATGAAAAAGGTTAAATCTAAGTTGTGTATTTATGTCCGCCCTAATATGGAAGGGGAACCACTGTGCAGCGCCAGAGTCGTACTTGGAACTTCAATTCAACTGAACAGAGTACTTTTTCATTTACTTTTTTTTTACTTGTTCGCTCACGTTTCACCACACATTAACTTTGATATATCAAGTGTAGTTGTCTGACAAGGACAACCCCAACTTTGCGGACACCCTGTATAGCGGCATGTGTGTTGGTGTATCTAGCCAGTTGAAGGGTGTATCTAAAGCTGGACATACACGCTAATCATTTGCATAGCAGTCTGGTTTAATAGCTATTATGGATATTCAAATTCATGATCCCGCCACTGTATGATCTGTATGAATATTTTGGTGAACAAATCATGATCAACTGTCCATCCTCTACCCACACTCCACCGATACAGGACGCGAATCCGTACCGAAAATCTCCCAGCGTTTGAAAAGCTTCATTCCAGCCAGGGTCTTTGATTCCTAACATTTCGTCTTTCACCCATAAGCAGTTCGTCTATAAAATGCTCAAGTTGATGGAAATATGAAATCTATACACTCCTTAATGTGTTTTGAAGGGTACTCCATGTAAAATTTGTCTATGAATTCTGGTTTATGACATATCCTTTCGCTAAACCTTAGCGTGTATGTTTAGCTTTATGGTTGGAGTGATCCCCACACAGCGGTAGCACTATCAGGGGTTATCGAATGCTGAGATAACCGCCAAAGGAGATGAAAGAAATAACTGGAAAAAGAGGGACGCTCTACACAAGGACAGATCGCAGGTCGCAGTGTGCCTGCTCCCCTGATAACTCATCGCCAACGGTCTGTTTAATAACTGGTGAGATCCAAAACAGCGATTGCGAACTTTTCTATGGTAGGTCAAATATTTGGTATTCAATAGACAAGCCAAAAAGTTAGGTTGCGTAAACAATAAATTATAATCCACGCTGGTTGTTCCACTTCCAGATTCATAAAAAAATTACATGTAAGTCTCTTAATACCTATTGAAATTTAAAAGGAATATTTTGTTTTTCAAATGTATGGTAATCTATTATGACTAAACAGGATAATTTCTTTGACTAACGCATTAATATGTAAATTTAATCAATATTTACTTCGTCGCCGCCGCTGGATCGGTGCAATCCCAAAGATATTAGAGAGAAGCGCGGAACTCTTTAAACTAGGCCCACAGACCCCAGGCGTCTGTTTCTATTCTGGTACGTGCACACTGGCGTATTCATGGGACGGCTTTGGGGCGGAGTCTCCCCTCCCAAACCTCCGCAGCTCATTACGCTTCTCCTACATATTAGAGCATGTTATATCTTTTGTGAAGTGTAGCTCCCTGGGCTCAGTGAGTCCCCTCCCCTGCTCTGCAAATTTCAATCTCCAAGACAAACCTACCCCCCTCCCCCCACAGCACAAATAAAGATGTCATCTGCTTTGAAAAACACACCATATTGGTGAATTTAATTAAGCCTACACCTCATCAACAGCAATAGCCCACCGCCATTGGAGACAACACAACCAAGCTGGGCGCCCCTATAGAATGAGGTTCCTTTTATCTATAATTTATTGCTCGGACATTACCTTCTAGTATCAATGATGCTTTTTAGACCGTCTTCGACGCTAATACAACGTTGCAATTCGGTATTTTTGGAGGTCAGAAAATGTAAGAGGTATGTGCAAGTTGCATAGCTCATCTTTGTACATACTTTATATATATGTATATATATATATATATATATATGTATATCTAACGGTTTATTATTTTAAAAACTTTTATATACATATACGTTTTAAATGTCCCAGCTTCTTTAATATATTCAGTTTTCATTAAAAACACGATTTTTGTTTTTCTTTTATATGGACATCCCTCTTGAACGGACACTTTCAGTCGGTCCCGTTGGTGTCCGTCCAAAGGAGATTTCACTGTATACGTTTATGCTTCCAATGTGTATAATATATATTTTTTTTTATTTACAGCGAGCCAATAGAAAAAATATGAATGTTTTTCTGGAGATATAAATAATAAAAAACATTATTTACAATACAAATAACTTTAAAAGTGAAATAAAGGAAAATCCAACATAAGACAGCACATATACAAAAAAATCAATTGTAGAGTATGAAATGTAAAAATAACAGGTACAAGTAACAGTGGGAATTTTTTGAAAGGGAAACACCACGGTACAAAGTACTACTTATATTATTAATCGTCGACAGTCAACAGATTTCTACCACTAGGTGCAAAAAACACCATACTTCAAATTTCCATCAAATTTAAAATCTGACCATATTTTTCACTTTCTGTTTACGTAATTGACTAATTGAGCTTCTGGATAAACTTTCTTGAACCCTGATTTCATTTCACCAGCTTCTACACGATACGAGGGTTGTTTCAAAAATAAGGTTTCCAATGCTGTAACTTTGTTGACGTGATGCTAGGCGAAATCTGGCAACACCGTCGTGTTTGTCCCCCACCACAGATCCCAACAAGAAGCGCCTACTGGCGACGCTCAGTACCGGCCCGACAGCGATGCGTAATGGAGTGCTTCATCGCCGTCACAGCTTGGTGCGAAATTCGTGCCGTCATCCGATTTTTGCAAGCAAAAACGTTACCACCCACAGAAATTCATCGCCAGTTGAGTGAAGTATATGGGAAATGTGTATAAGCATTCAACATATCTGTTGTACATCCCGGTACAATCAGTCGATATCACCCTGTACATGAACATTCACACCACCCTGTACACTCAATCCAAAGTGACGCCAGCGTGTGCGTATGTGCAGACAGACATTCTGGTGCTACGATTTCGTTGGATCTCGCCCGGCCACCCCGTTGGTGAAATCGTGAACCAGGAATGAAAAAAAAGTCACGCTTGAACCTCTGGGCACAACACGTCGGCTCCCGGATCTACCAATCGATCGCGCGGTCGACCAGAGGTGAAAAAGACATTACTAACCTGATGAATGTATCGCTTATACATTATAAGTTTGTATCCACTCCAAACCCAATAAACGTTGTTTCAAGAAAATAAAGTGTTATATGCGACATGACGAGCATACAAAACAATATCCTCAAATGGTGAAGAGAGGTTAGCTCTTTGACATCCACTGAACAATTAAACAGGAGGCCGTTGATCTCCGAGGAAGTAGTGGCGAAGATTGAACAAATCTTGCTCGAAGATCGGCGAATCATGATCCGAGAGCAGGCGGTTGAAATTCATGACGCTTCTAAAAAGCAGAGACAGGCAATCCAAAATCGTCGTAGGGAAAAACTCTTTGAAGCGTAAGACTGTACCACGACAATACGCATCGTCATTTCTCACAAGAAACTAAGGACTGAATCGAGCGATTTGGCTTATTTTTGAAATAACCCCCGTGTCTTAGTTAAATCCCCAACCATATGATATAATTACCCTGTAAATGGTTAGATATTTAGTAATTTAGCGGCGATTATTATCATTATTATTGTAAAAAAACAGACTGAACGTGCATGAGGTTCTAGCGAATCTATCAAACAATGCATACAGCGCGTAACATATACTTCAGGCGTACCCTACGAAATGGAGTTTTCCTTACCCTATGGTTGGAACATGTGACGGACCTAGTGCAAGGCCCCTTGCCCGATACCACGACTCCACAGTGGACGTCAGGGTCGAAATGCTTGACGGCCACTCGGCAGCTGCTGTTCGATTTCTTGGATTTCTTGTATCTGCTGCTACTGGAACTGCTCGAGCTGGTGCGTCCATGGTTACTGTGACTGCTGCCGCTGCTGTGGTGATGATGGTGACTGTGACCGTGACCATGGTGGTGACTGTGGCTGCAACAAAATAATTGTCGCTTAATTGAGGCCAATTAACATTTCACCTATACTTTCCAAACTATTGGAAAATGCAATGTGCGAGGTCTGTAAATTAAGTGATGAGACGACAACGTAGCGTTCGATCTGGCAACATTGGAGGCGCCGGGCTTGGGGGGAAAATGTGATCAGGGTTGCCAGGCGTGACAATTTGACGGCTTCGAATGGCGACTAAAATGAATAGCTTGGCGATTGGCTACTTTAATGACGGCCAGTATCCAGCAAACTGGCGATTGCATTAATTTGTAATCAATTTTTGCTGATATGTGTATAGATTAATGAAATATGTAACATGGAGCAGTGGAAGTTCTGTTCTCTAAGCACAATGGTATTTATGGTCAAATGTCATGTCAAGGTCGTGTTACAAGCATATCAACGACATCCCATCTTAACACTTTTAACACAGAGTTGCTAGATGTACGATTATTACCGTTTTAGTACGATAATCGGGAGTGAGGCAGATCACGTTCTTCCGTTGTCACAGAAGTCCAGAAGTTCCCCCACCTCAAAATGTCTTATCGTTTCGTTCAGCTTACACATGTCTAACAACCAGGTTTTCCGATGGTTTACGGCATTTTCAGAAGGGAGAGAGTCGGGGCCTTCATCCTCAAAAAACGATGAAAATAACGACAGAACACGAGAGCTTGTGCGTTCAGTTCGTCAGTTGACAGGGAAGAGTTAAATTTGACTCACGATAATGCTCCTTGTCACACAGCAATGTCAATAAATGAGTTTTACGCCAGTAAAAACATCTACGAGTATGTGGCTCCTCAGCCTCCTTATTTGCCTCACTTGAGTCTTTGTGATTTTTTTCTCTTCCCGAAGTTGAAAAATCACCTGAACTCATTTTGGGGCAGTTGAAAACAGTCAAATGGCTGTAACCAGACAGCTGAACCTTATTCCAGCATTGCAGTTCCAGCACTGCTATGAGGGGTGGAGGAACCGTCTCCAGTGGTCTGTGGCTGAAAATTTCAACAATGTTTGAATAAAAAAATGAAATTAAAATCCACCACCATCAAACAATAGCTTTTTAGGAAGTAGATCACAAAGAGTTGTTATTTCTCCTGAGGCTTTAATATCATCGGGAATGCCGCAAGGATTGGTTCTTGGTCAACTTCTTTTTTTTGTATATATCTACTGAGCTATTTTTCCTGATCAATATTTTTGAAAAAAAATATCTCACCTCGATGACGATCCCGAATTAGACCCTCCAGTCTCAGTCCTGGAAGGCCACGAGGTATGATGTGATTTCTGTGAATGAGCCACATGTGGTTTGGACGAACCACTGGTGGACACGGCCAACTGTGACTTGCTCACTGTAGCAGCAGTGGCAGTGGTAGTGGTTTTGATAGGTTGTGATGACGTAATGTCATCAACCACCATTTTGGTCACTGCCTTGGCTGGTGTTGAAGCTGAATTTGCCGCCGAGTTTGAAGCTACAGCTGGACTTGGAGTTGATACGGGCACTGATGCGGCGGGATTCGAGATCGAAGGACTTGCTGACTCCTGGAATATACAGGGTTTTTTTTTCATGTTCGGTATTCAGCAGAATATTGCGAACATATTAGACAAAATCAATATTTTTACTAACAAACATTACTATTGACACCTATCACAGGTAAGTTACGAAAGAAAATAATGAAGCGATCCTTTCTTTACTTGGCTCCAAAATTATATGAACATGTACCCAAAGATTTGAACCAATTTTCAAATATACAAAAATTTGCCAACTATTCCTTTTGAAGAAAAATGAACTTTAATATATGACAAATACCATATAAATAAACTGTTGTTAAGTAAAAAAATATTGATGTGTTCGCACTCAGTGCTGTCAGTGAAGTAGAAGTTTACAACACTGTACTTCAGCAAAGAGATATTTTAATACTTATGTTAGTTGAAATAACCATTGTTTACCAAAAAATGTGCTGTACCTTAACAGCTTGTTTACGGAGTGTTGAACTGGGAATTTTCAAGTTGCCTTTATTGTGAACCTTCTTCTTAGAACTGTGGGGTATTGTGGGTATACTTCTCCCTGAACATGACTTATGTGACAAAATATCCCAGGGTTTGAAAACTAGTTTACACTCTCTACATTTTGTGTATATGACTTGTTCCATTTTTGGAATCCAACCATACCGCATGACATCTTGACGTGGAAGGAGCTGAACACTGGGTATTTTTTTATTTTGCACTGGTTGAGCATCATCTGAAAATCATGCTTCGAGTTAATTTCCATCAAATATTAAATACATTTTGATACAGGCTCAACATGAAACCAATTGTAATAACATTCTTTGAAAACCATTCATGATATCAAAAACAAACAGCTATAACACAATTATAATGTTGCTCTGCTATAACACTTTAGAGACACCAATAGATCAATACATACAAGAATTCACATGGAATTAGATAGTAAAGGCGAAAGAATATGTTAGAACAGAGCTGATCTATGTCTCATAAGGCCAAAAGCAATGTGTGATATTTCATACAGCCTTACAATCACTGCTTCCTATGCATATCAAAAATCACCTAAAGGGTGAGTCAGAGTAGTGGAAAATGAATGAATGCAATGTCAATATGTAATAAACAAATGTATACTTAAAAAACAAGCACCACATTCACAGATTAACAGAGGCTTTGAGGCCAGGTATATAAAGCACAAAAAATCAAAAACTACTGATTTAAAAAAAAACTATTCTATTCCAGAAAACCTTACAAAAATTCCTGTTAAACATTATTCTTAATTACAAGGTCCAATACTACCATACTGAGGTAAAAGGCAATGAAGAGTAAAAATCAAAGTCAGAGAAAACTGAGTTCTAAAATGTGGATTTATTTGAAATAAATAAATAGTATTATTATGACAGAAGCAACATGAATGAATATTACAAAGTTACACAACCTATAGAGATTAAATATGATTTCAAACCATCATTTTTGTTGGGGTTTATAATAAATGACATTTCATCTTTAATTGTTGTTATTTACTGCTTTTATACTCTGCAAAAACAAACACTACCTTTTTAATAGTTATATAGATATATATATATATATATATATATATATATATATATATATAATCTATTTATATTATCTTTTCAAATGAAAAATGCACTAATGCAGAATTTTATTTGGCTTTCATAAAATTTATTCATATTGAAATTCACATAATTAGCACAAAAGTAAACCTCTTCAACATCTTATAATTCAATTTAATAATTATATGATTACATTTAATAATTACATTCAATAAAAGTAGCTATATAAATAAACTAAACACAGCATGTTTTCTTATATTTGTCAAGTTAACTGAAAAATATTTTTTCAAATTATTCTTTCAGAGCAAAAGTAATTATTTATAATGATAAACACTTATTCACAAATAACAGAATTATTACATAAAGAACAAGGTAAGTAAGTAAACATCATAATAGGTTATAAAAAGGCAAAAAGACAGTACTTGTATCATACAGAGAATAAAATCAGCATAGTTTGAAGACTGCTGCTTCCTTGCTAAGATAAATTGATTTACTGCTTTCATGCTTAGGAAAAAGGAAGTTAATATGGAATAATTAACAGATTGAAAAACTATTTTTGTTAAAAAAAACATGATCAATAGTATATTTATAATTGTAATCATAAAAGAAATATACTGGGATCAAAAATAAAAAGAGAAGAATTTAAAATATAGATAATCGAAGTATTAAACTGAGAAAATCACTATAAAATGACTGTGAAAATATGTACCTATAATGCCGAATTTCATTAGAAGCTTTAGGCCTCATACACTACTAGAGAGTATGTAAAACTTAATAATATAAGTACATTCCGACAATATCTGATAAATGCTGATCACTTGCTAAAGGCAAATAAGGAGCATAAGAAAACATCTGTTCAGTATTCGAGATCACATAGCAATAAATTTTATCATCAAGTAATGAGAAACTGCTAAATAAAAGAACTGCAACAATAATGTAAGAGATACTGGAGTTGTTCTCTTGAATGCTTTACGAAAATATTAACAATAAGTAATGTTAATATGAAAATTGATTACTGGAATGACATTTGAGATGAGGAAAATTAAAACGTGTATAATATAATAATTATTGAATAAATAAGGAAAAGATAAATGAGATAATGATGGCAGTAAGCTGTTATTTTTTTATTGTATGGCGTTGAAAAAGAATAATCAAAGAGGTTCAAAGAAAATGATGACAGTACAATGGTTTCAATGGAGCAATTCTAAATTAAATAATGGAAGAAATGGAAGTTAAAATACAGAATTTCTTACCTAGATGTAGGTCAACCATACCCCTGATAATTTCCCACTTTGTTATTTCTTCAGGAAAACTTTCAAAATATTCTCCCATTTTTCTTCTGGAAGGAATAAAGACTAATTTACATCACGAAAATTTCCTGAGACAGATTCAAGAAATAGATTCGACTAACCTTAAACTGTATTTTTATCACAAACTATTAAAGCTTTATAAAATTAAAATTACGAGTTATGATATATAAATATTTAAAAAACAACTTTTGGTTAAAAACCCATGATCACATTAATTTTACAGTTCTAAATATTAAAAAATAATCCTAATAACAGTTCGACTACTCTTCGCCTTCCACTTCCAGCACAGAACATCAAATCTTCGAGAGTAAGCAAAGGCCAAAGGCAATCATAAACATCAAGAAAAGAGAACATATGAAATAATCTATATCAGCAATGGGGCAATAGAGGGCAGCACCTATCAAAGATGCATTTTATTATTGGCAGGACTGCTTAAAGTTTTTATCACAGATTTTATTAAGTATTAAGGTTGATTCTCACTATACATTCCGTTTCCATTCCGTAACCGTTCCGTAAATTATTGAAATTAAATATTCGCCTCCGCTTAAAGCAGGCTATTGCGTGTGTAAGCACATTATCCGTAAGGCATACTGTGTATACAATCACATTGTACGGAACGTTTACGAAACTGATATGGAATGGAAACGGAATGTATAGTGAGAATCAACCTTTAATTTACTTACTGCTGCAAACACTGTAACGGCATCTAGCGACCATAGTTTTTGGCGTAGGCAACCATCCATACGGAATGTTGTAATATTAGTTTCCATATTCAGTAAGTCAAGATATACCTACATACAAGAATCGCATATACCTATAGGTTTGTCTTGTATCTCACTTTTTCATTTTCTTTATTATACTTATATTACCGTTATTCAATTTAACTAACTTTACCTGACTCTGTAACATTCCAAAAACATAATGAGGAAATGAGATGAGATATGCTTTTTTCTTAGGTTTATACAGCATCTTCTACAAAACGCTGAAATGTGTGCTGCATACACGAATAAATAGTTTTTGTCTTTGATAATTACCATTATAATACTTTTTTCATAACAGGTTTTCAAGCTTTATATTTGTATCAAGAGAAATGTAATATTTTTATTGCTACTTCCCAAGAAGCAAGTTTATTAAAACTGCATTTACAATTGATTCTAAAGTCATAAATCTGACACCATTGGAAAAGCCACTATCCACTGTTATCTAAACAAGGGATCTTTTTTGGTATCCAACTTGCTTTATGAGCAACGGCTGTTGCCAATCTCATCAAATGTTCTTACTATCCACGAAATATTGCAGGGTGGCCATTTTTATTTAGTGCCTGTGATTCTGTACTGTCTAATATTCGTTCGGTGTGCGCGTAATGGGGTGTCTAAATGTCCGCATGTTTCCACACCTAAGCTATGCAGTCGGTTATCTTCCAAAACAAAGAAATTAATGATGATGGATCCCTCGAGTACTAAGAATTTCGGACGTAAACTCATGAACATCTGCGAGATTGACAGCAACATTGATGCTGTTCATCACTACTTGCAATCCAATCGTCCCGCCATGCTTTTCTTGGCGGAGACAAAAATCTCAGAGTCTGCACCGATTAACCATCTTAGCTTCCCAAATTAACAGGTGCAAACCAATCTGAGAAAGAACGGGGGAGTTGTGGCTTTTGTCCGCAGCAGTTTTTCCTGCTAAGACCGGAAGGACATTCTGTGGCTTCGCCTCAACTCCAAAACATCCCCCATAACTGGGATGACCTACTTGAATATCTCGCCGCCAAGATCGACATCCTGAACATCAATCACCCCGCTTCAGAGCTAGTTCTCCTCGGTCATTTCAATGCCCATAATGAGCTTTGGTCGGGCTCAAACAAGACCGCTGCAACAGGTCATGCAGTTGAAGCGTTCGCTGTTACTCAAGGGCTGACCCAGTTAGTTACGAGACCTACTTTTTTCCCCAGCATGCCAGTAGCCTGCTGGATCTCCTTCTGACCACGCATGGAACGATTGTATCCGACTCAAAAGCCAAGGCGGAAGTGCTTGCCAGGATCTTTGCTGCCAACTTCACCATTGACGTCCCCCCAACGCCCAAGTGCCGTCAATTCAGAGTGTTCCCTACACTATGCGTGAGGTAACATTCAGGCATAAGACCATAAGACGAGTGCTCTTGTCGCTGGAGATCAATAAAGCTTCTGGTCCGGACTTGATTCCTGCCATTGCTCGCTCCAGTTCTTTCGCGTTTCTTCCATATCTTATGAATCCGGCACCTTCACAGAAAACTGGAAATTTGCTAATATCCAGCCAATCCCAAAAAAAAGATCTAAGGCCGACCCTTACAACTACAGGCCTATAGCTCTGCTTTCTGTTCTAAGTAAGGTGATGGAGGGGTGCATAAATCGCGAGCTTCTGGACTACCTCGAACGTCATCGCTTGGTTAATGACAGGCAGTCTTATGGTGAGGCTCATGTCGTTGCTCTTGACATCACGAAAGCATTTGATCAGCTGTGGCACCCTGCCCTCTTAAGCAAACTTCCATTCTATGGCCTCCCAGAAAAGCTTTGCAGATGAGTGGCTGACTTTATCTCTGGCCGCAAGATATCCGTCGTAATTAACGGGTTCTTCTCTCCATCCCACATCTTCAACGCGGGTGTTCCCCTCCTTACATATCAACGACCTCCTTTCCTGCACGATCAACCCAATCCACAGCTTTGCTGAAGACAGCACTCTACATGCAGGAATTCAGAGTGACAGCCGATCTCTGCCGCTGAGCTGGAAAAAAGAAGACTAGCGATGACTTCCTCTCTGACGGGAGACCTGGAGGCTATCAGTGCTTGGAGATGCAACAATCTTGTACAGTTTAATGCTTCCAAAACACAGTACTGTACCTTGACGAACAAAAAGCGTCATAGCGCTCATCCGGTTTCGATGGACAGCCGAGTTCTGCCAAAGAGCCATTCATTTCGGACTGGTCTGAGTCCAAATCACCGAGAACCTGATCTGGCACTTGCTTAGGGCTAAGAAGTACTTTTCTCCGCATGACCTTCTCACTCTATACACGGCTCACATGTTTGGGGTGCTGCCGCCTCGACTACATTATTTATGCTGGATGCTGTCCAGAGGAGGGCTGTCCGACTGATCTACGACTCTTTTCTAACAGACAGTCTCGGGACCATTTCGCACCGGCGGGTCGTCAGCGATCTAGCTCTCTTCTACCTCTACGCCAACGGGCTTTGCTCCTCAGAGCTCTCTTCCATGATGCCGCCGAGCGATGTGTCTGCCAGACAGACCCGCCTGACTTTGGCCTCCCATCCTCACCGTATCGAACTTCGTACATCCAAAACTGGCCGATACGACCGCTCCTTTGTCCCGAGGGTGTCAAAAGTGTTGAACAATCTACAAGAGGAAGCCTTTCCCAGTTCTACTAACCTTAGGCAGTTCAAAAATAGTATTAACAAAATTTCTTTTGGATCATCATAGCAGCCTCGGTGTCCCGGCATTTAGGGCTTCTGCCTGCGCGGCTGCTTCGGTATATAAAAAAAATAATCTGGAAAGCTAGAAGTAGATGAACCTAGCTCGATTGTGGATCATGATTAGTCATAAACACCTTTCCTTTCTGTCAAAATAGTCTTTTTCCATCCACATTTCTATCAACTCTGTCTTTTCCCATCAACTTCCTATAAAATATGTCCTCTTCCCATTTACTTTTGACAGTTTGACCACATTATCGTGTCTAGCGGGAACAAAATTGGGCGTCGCTACCAATCGAAAATATATGTTGATTTATTTTTCTACCCGTACTGAGCGGACCGTGGCAAATGCTTGTTCCGGAAGTTGTTGTATCCAGTATACAACTTCTTCCCATTCAAGTGATTGTACACGCGTAAAGCAATACCTCAAAAAGAAGGTGGAAGAGAAGGACCAGTCGACCGAGGCGGTATCAGCCGCTAGCTTTTTCCAGAGTGTTTTAAGAACGTCCGCATGCCTCTACATCTAACAAAGTCGATGATAAAAATTGTTTCACGTACATCTGCGGGATCAACAGCAACACTGATGCTGATGTACATCACGGCCTGCAACCTAATCCGCCCGTCATGCTTTTCTTGGCGGAGACAAAAATCTTAGAGTCTGCCCCGAATAATCACCACAGCTTCCCAACTTATGAGGTGCACTCCAATTTGAGAGAGAACGGGGGAGTTGTGTCTTTTGTCCGCAGCGGTCTTTTTTGCTCCAGAGAAGTTTCTTTGGAATCAGACCGGAAGGACATTCTTTAGTTTCGCCTCAACTCCAAAACATCCCCCAAATTTATTTGCTGCCTTTATCGCTCTCCCTTCGACCATAAGGGGGATGACCTACTTGAATACCTCGCTGTCAAGATCGACTTGCCGAACATCAATCACTTCGCTTCAGACGAAGTTCTCCTCGGTAATTTCAATGCCCATAAGGAGCTTTCGTTGGGCTCAAACCAGACCGAATCAGCAGGTCGTGCAGTTGAAGCGTTCGCTCTTACTCAAGGGCTGACGCAGCTAGTGACGAGCCCTAGTTTTTTCCCCGCGTCTCGTCACATGCCAGTAGCCTGCTGGATCTCTTTTTGATCACGCATCCTACCCCTTACAGCACTGCTGTTCTGTCCCCCCTGAGTAACTCAGACCACGGTGCTGGGGAGGTCTGGTTTCGATCAGAAACCGCTGTGGCAGCAGAAATTTTTTTGGAGAGATATTTGTTTCGCTGACGAGGGTACGTCGGCTGCCCGTTCATTGATAACCGAAATTATCCCCGTTGGGGGATCCAACGGTTAGTTCAACAAATCGTGCACACAGAACCTTCTTACAAAACCCCAGTGTGGAAAACAGACAAGCCGATGTCGAGTCTTGAAACTAATATAACGAAGCGGTCCGCGATGACAAAGATCCGCATGATATAAAAGCTGGGACAGAGTAATGTCGCCTGGAATTACATATCATGCAAATTTGCTGAATTTAAAAAATGGGAGAGATAAAAAGAAGTGAAGTATATTATTACCAACAGGCAGGGCTGTCTTAACACAGGGGCTCGCGGGGCCCGGACCCAGGACCCCGTCATGATGGAGGGCAATGTCTTTTTCAAAGTTGAAGAGAACAAAAAATGAATCAAGAACGACCATGTCACAAGAACGCCTCACCAGTTTGTGCCTTATAATAATAATATCTAATAATAATAATCCGGCTTTATTTATACAAAGTATAAAAAGGCGAAGTGTCCTAAAAAGCGTTTTTCAACCACTCTATAGGGAGTGACATTTTGCAGCAACTGGCGTTTGACGACATAATTGAAGATTTTGCCGTAATGAAATCACGGAAAAAGCTCATAATATTATTGTAAGGCAATTTGTAGTTCAATAAATGTGTTTTATTAGAAGTATGCCTGTCTTCGATTTTTTTGGGGTCCCCATGCTCCTGAGGGCCCAAGGCCCCCGCATGCTTAAGACGGCCCTGCCAACAGGTCAGAAAACAGGCTACAGACAGACAGACAGACATATTTATGAAACGTGAAAAGTCGTAAGTTCCTTATTATTACAGGTAGGTGAATATGCTGCAAGTAGCAAATTAAAAGCTACAATGTTATCAAGGAAAAAATACTCAACATATAGTCTGGTCAGTGGCTCAAGGGTAAAGGGGGTGTTAAAAATCTCAAACCTCGTTTTTGCACGTTTTCAAAGTTTTTGGTCATTCCAGGGGCGTAGTCAAAATTTTGTTTGAAGTGGGGTTGAAAAATTAAAAATCGGGAATTACTATCTCGATCGCCCCGTATACAATCGCAATGTGACGCCTGCGTGGCGGCAGCCACATGGCGCTCCTGAAAATTCTATCCGGTAAGATTCCTGGAATGGCGGTAGGGGGAAGTCTGGCAACACCGTCCGTGCGACCGGAGATCGCGCGATCGCGGATCGAGCCAGTTAGTCCTAGTCAAGCTGTCATCCGCAACGGGGTGTGACGTAAGTCACTTGTTTTTGTAATCGGTGAAGGTGGTTAGTGTTAGTGGGACCAGGGTGGTTCCTTGTGGCAACCTGTCGCGTGGTTCGGTGGTTGCGTATTAGTGCCACTTCAACACCATGGCACTAAACCAAGACGAGGCCAAACAAGTTGTACGGGTCGACCAGGATTCTGAGACAGATCTACAGGCTCTGTTCGACAGTGTGTTGAAACCGGATTCGAAAAGACCGCTGCAAGTACCATGGAGCATGAGAAAGTTGCCAGATTCTTTCTTTAATCCTCCATCTACGGGCTCAAAGTCTATCAACCACTCTCGCGAGAACTCTGTCGATTCAGCTTTTGGGGGTGGTAGTAGTACCGCGACTACCCCCGTTAATTCCGTGCCCCTACAGACTGCGCACCACCGAGCTCATAGCTCCCCGGCCTCATTACAACAAACCTTCGCTGTCGGCCAGCAGCAAACCCCAGTGCACCAACATATTAAACAGAGGTCCTACGACGTGGCCACCAAGTCTGAGGACAACACTCCCCTGCCCCCAGGCTGGGAACAAGCCAGAACCCCAGAAGGACAGGTGTACTACTTGAAGTAAGTACCTACCACTACCTATTAAAGAATCTATGAAAGAATCCCACCGCAAGGTTGTCCAGGTCAGATCGTCTGGTGCTTGCACAGGGACGGATTTAAACGTTGCACCTGTAACTCGTACAACTTTAAAAAACACATCTACGAAATCGTCCGAATATCCATTTTCTGCTTGACATTGTATTATGTATAATTTTTATGATTTAAAAGATTCAGTGATTCAAGTTATGAATGTAATGATCAAATGTTTTGACGTAAGTGTCAACAAACGCACGCCTGACCATACATGTGTTATCATTGAAAAATCATATACAAGTAAATAATAGATAGATAGACTTAATTAAAAATCTTTATACAAAACGCGAGTTATATGAGAAATATGAAACAAAAAATGGTAGCAGATTGATTCAGCACTCCTCAGGCATTCATATAAATCTCAGCTGCACAAAGATGTCAAAGTGGTCAAGTCAGAAAACTTCGCAAAACAAAGTTTGATTTTTTAAGAACTTGATGCCTCCATAATTGTTTTGGCTACATCAAAAATGCATCAGAAACTCGAACACGTCAAGAACGAAGTTTGAGGACGGTTTGAAACCTGATCTGAAATTATCCGTTGTTCAAACGCTCAAAACTGCTAGCATTGTAGTAAACTTCTAAATCCAAGCATTACTTTCGGGGTTACAAAAGTGCCTAAGACAGATCGACAGAAATGTGATTTTATTGTTATCTAAAGACATTTACAGCAATCAAAATTTCCATTTCGTAATTGCAATCGGCGAGGAAAATAAAGGTCAAAAACCCTAAAATATTCATTTCATTTAAATCTTATTGCGCGTATGTCGCAAGATAATTATGTTACACACCATATAGCTGCATTGAGCGGTGAAAGAACTAACAAATGTTGTTATAAAAAAGTATACATGGTCGTTCTATAGGCGAAAACATTTTATCAAGTGTATGAAGTATCTGGATTGTTACTATTCGTCTCGTGTTTCAAAAGCTGTGCCTTTATAGCATATCAAATTACTCAGCGGGTTTTCAGCTATATATACACACAAATATACAATCTTGCCGTTTATAAACGAGATAATTCAGAAGATAAGAGATGTAATAACAAATGGAAAAGTTTGTTGCAACTTATATGGCGAATCAGGTATTTATAAAAATATTAAAAAAGATTTGTGTCATCTTTTCAGTCGCTATCAGATTTCAAAATGTTGAATGACCTTCAGGCAAAACTTCACAAAGCTACTCGTAACATTTTCAAATCATTGAATATTTTTTCAATGCACTTTGCAAAATATTATCAATTTTTCTTTTTGTACCAATAAAATCGAAATCAGGATATGTCAATATGTTTGGATAATGAAATTGTAAAAATGCTTTCTAATTATATATATAGTTATTTTAATCCTGACGCCGAACCTGGAATATCTGAATTAAATGTAATTACGTCAAATTAAAGCCTCTTCATATCACTAGAAATGTATCATCAAAACTGTTGCAGCTTGTATCAGATTTTTTAGTTGATAGAAAATGTGAAAAAATCCAAATCAGTTGACTTTCGTTAGTGTTGCGTAAGACTGTCATACGAGTTGAAATTTTATTCTTTCGGCATTGTCAACGATTTTGGTGTAAGACGTTTTAATTCTCGAAAGGAATTGAGTATTTTCGTCAGTTTGGGTCATTTTGTGACAGCGTAATCTTGAGAAGCTTTTCGCAGCTATCCAGCAAATGATAGGGTCTCATCATCTTAGGGTGTCATGATTTTCGAATCGCTAGTCTACTGCGTCTTTTAGAAGTTGGTTTTTACACTTGAAATTTATAGTCTAATAGATCATTTTGAACAAAAAAAAGTGTGGATAAAGCAGGCTTTTCACGAAAAAAATTCCCCAAAATACTGTATTTTCAGCACGTATTTTCATCACCATAATATATGACGTTGACGTCTGCGCATATCAGAGGACCTTGCCTGCGATGTTGCCGGATTGGGCTTCGCATTTGGGGAAAATATGAAAACTCGAAAACTCATATATACATAAATTTGTTAATTAAACATAACGAAAAAGTAATGAAAATCTCAGATAAGCAACACAATATGGAAATAAAAAGCGACTCTAAATAATTATGAAACAAATCTTGAAAATATCACAAGTTAATAAAAAAAATTGTTGGTAGTCATAATGGTAGGATCATTTTTGGCTGTGATGTTATTTATCTTGTGATATGATTTTTGTTATTTTTTGTTTAAAATTATCTCTATTTTACTATTATTTTTTATTTATTGTATTTAACCACTGTTTCTAACTTTTTGTTTTTTTACAATCACTTAGAGTTGTCTTATTTTACTAATGTTTGTTATTTTTTGTTTTATAATTATATAACAATCGCTTTTTATCTTGTTACTGTTGCTTATTTCGGTTTTCGTTTCTTTTTCGTTATTTTGTTTCTTTATTCATGTTCATGTTTTCGAGTTTTCATTTTTCCTCCCAATTGTGGAGCCCAAGCTGGCAACAATGGCATGCAAATCCCTCTCATATGCATAGACGTCAAGGTTATATGATAGTGATGAGTTTAAAAACACGTGCTGAAAATACAGTATTTTAACAAAAAAAGTTCGCGAAAAACGTTCCCCATTCACACTTTTTGTTTAAAATGATCTATCAATACTCTTGATACATGATTCAAATATTATAAAAAATATTTGCAAACTTTACGTCGAATAAGATCCTCGCTAAACACAGAATATGGTACATACCTACAATGATCGATCAACATCTGAGGCGTTCTGTCTAGTGTGAACGTCCATTTTGGGGCAATGTAAATCAAAAACCGTTCCTCTAGAGTACCTTAAATGTTGTTATCAGAAATGAACGTATTTTTCTGAAAACATGTATCTTATGAGTAAGGGCCTTCTCTCTGAATTAACATTAGGCATATAAGTCAGTTTCAAGTAATGCAAAGTCAAACTCATTACTCTTAAAGTCCAAACACGTTGATTCTGTAGTAATTCTTGCTTAATTCAGTTCGCATGGAAGTAGCCCGAAATAATTTGATGTAACTTGCCTATAGTGTTGAATCGCCAATGCCTGGTTGGCTTATTCATCCCTAATTCTTTTGGGTTACTTCTTGCGTTCTGAATCAACAAATAGTTAGCCAGAAAGCAACATGTGTTTAGAGTCTTAAGCTGTATTTTATAAAAATGGGTTGATTAGAAAGAAAAATTATTTTTTCAGGGAGAAGGGCCCGGACTCCACACCACCAAAATCAAAATGAACGGAATTTGGAACCCAAAAGCAAAAACTATATGTGAATTTTAAGTGCGGCGCTAACGTGTTAGTGTTAGAAGCATACAGCATACGTTAAAGAAAAAAAATTTAACTTGGACACACATTGAGGGCCGTATCGTCGGTCGTTCCTACAATTGTAGGACGCCTTTATAGCCTTCTTCATTTTAATAGTTTTCTGCTGTTCCGTGTCAGCGCTCTACTTTGAGGTTATGTTACAAATATCTATTTTCATCAAATTGTTCATGCTTTTGATTTATATCATCTCTTATAATCAGCCTTAAGTGTCCTGCAATTCAAAAAGAAAACAGCCTCATAATAAGGAGAGCGCTGACGCTGACACGGAATAGTAGCAATCTAGAAATGCCCCAACATTTCTGAAGGAGAGAAAAAACTATGAAAATCAAGGAGGCCATAAAGGCGTTCTACAATTTAATTGTAGGAACGACTGACGATACGGCTTGACGACGCTTGATGCCGAGGTATATTTTGCGTTCTCTTTTGAGGTACTTCTGGCATTCTAACCGAATTGAGCAAGAATTGTTTCGTAAATGTCAGCAGAGTCGCGATTGTAAGATGTTTGGAGAAAAATATGTCTTTGAAACTCACAGATATATTTGTATGCCATACTTTTATCCTGAAAACGCCTAGACCATATTCATCTTACCGTACTTGCATAATTTTACAAGCTGTGAAGATTTTGCGGCCTTTTTCTTTTTTTTACAACTAGGGAAAAAAGTTCCAACTCGAGTCGAATATTAAAATGCATTTACGATATTCGTGTGTAAAATATGGTTTATTCCTCATAAATACTAAGTGTACTTACTATGAATCATTGTATTTTTCTGTAGTGTTCATTTTTAATCACGCTAATGTTTTATAAGATTTGAAAGCATTGTTTTTATAATTCAGTTATTGTATATAATATAATTATTTTAATAAGCATATTGAAGCCAACTATTTCCCTATTATGATTTTGATTCCACTGTCTTTTATTGTGTACCGTTACATACAGTAGAAAGGTATATAAAAAAATATGATGTACAGAGCTGTTAATATTTTTCATATGTATTTGAAACAGTTGTTAATGTCTGGTTTTTACGCTCTGCGGATACATAAACAGTTACTGATAACAATGATAAAAATGCGAGAAAATCAAAGCTTTAGTTGTTTATGCACACTACATATAAATCGTAGTTTTACGTCCATTATATGGGTTTGTCCAAAATTATAAAAAACATTTTCGAAGAAAAATCTACTTAATCTGAATTGAGTGCACGTAATTTTATCAGAACATTGTGATATATAGGGAATAGGTGTTCGTTTTTCATCTATATAATTAGTATTATATTGAAAAAAGAAAATTTTATAGCAGTGGAATTATTTTTTTATCAATAAATGTTTTTTAACTTTGTATTTCTTCTTTTACATTGTTATGGTTAATTCAATCATTAAAAATTAACAACATTTAAGTCTCAGAAATGTTTGATATCTCCGATTTAGTCAGGGTATTGATGCAGACGCAATGTGATTCCATTGAAAAACATAAATCTGACCGATTCGATGTCAACTAATAGTTTTTTACATGTTATATTTCTGTTGAACGGATAATCGAACATTACCAATCTTTTCACCAATGCGGTCAAAAACTGGAATAAAAAATAGCCACTTTTGGGCTTGCTATCTGTAATCCGCCGTTACAATCTAGTTTTTGAA